AAAATAACTGTAATACACCAGAGTCTTATCTTTCGGACTGGCGATTATTTCGAGATTGGCTCCTAGATAAGAAATTGAACATTCAAGTTCTGTGTCTAGTTAAATTTGGAGAATATTTTTATGAACCATTAATGCAATTCATGGTTGGAAAAGACCCAATACCTCGTATCCAACTAGATAATAATCTAGTTCAACTTCCACCTGGTCGTCGTGCTCATGAGATGCCTGACAAAGTGAATGAGTGGGTTGATTATTTAGATGAGCTTAAAGAAAATTTTGACTCTTTTTTTGGGGACGAATTACTAATAGCATTAGAATCTCTAAATAACGAAGATTTTAGTGAGCTCTTTGACAGTTTAGAGCAAGGTGTAAATAAAGCATATGAACATTTTTTAAAATGGATATCTCCATGGATGCACTTACCATTATCAATCTGCCGTTTGGGTGGAAATTCCGGCCATGAATTCGCACGAGCATTTTCTTATGTAGTTTTAAAATCATCATGGCCTTCAAAACCAACAGAACGTGAAGCCAACTTCGTACAACAATTACATGATGATTTTAAAACTACCAATAATACCTTGGGTCTTCAAGAAGAATTAATAAATTGCTTCGAATTCAGGGATGAATTTCAACAATTTTGTCTTGATCTAAATCCCAAAATTTATGAATACCCGTTATTATATAAATTCGTTAAAGAACGAATTTATTTTATTGTAGTCCATCAACAACAAGTTGAAGGACTTTTTAATAAATTAGACTTGAAAACTCACCCGAAGATGTCACAGAACCTGAAACAGTCAAAATTAAAACTTTCGTCTGGAAATATAAGTAAAGAAAATATTGCTTTAGGGCTTTCAGAAGTTCGCGCAAAACGTAAAAGGCAATTGCAAGAAACTTTACAAGATGATGTAGAAATGCATGAAATACATGGGGAGGAAGAAGCAACTAAATTTTTTTTAGATTTATTTCGAACTTAGATAGTTATAAATGTATATTAATAAAAAGTGTAAATATATAATTTATGATAACGATAAAAATAAATTAGGCAGATCTACGTAGATCTGCATACGTACAAAAAAAAAAAATTATATCAATTTCTACTATTGAAC